CATCTCCGGAAAGGATTACTTCCGACAATTCTGGAAGATTTGCTTGCTGCACGCAAGAGAGCGAAAGCTGACCTGAAGAAGGAAACGGATCCATTTAAGAAGGCAGTTTTAGATGGAAGACAACTGGCTTTAAAGGTTTTGCTTTATCTTGATTTTTCTATCTGCATAATTTCTTGATAGTAACACATTTTAAATTAAAGATGAGCGCAAACTCGGTCTACGGGTTCACAGGAGCAACTGCTGGCAAATTGCCATGCATCGAAATATCAGCAAGTGTCACAGCTTACGGACGACAAATGATCGAACGAACTAAACAGGTTGGCCATTGTTTGGTCTATTCACATAAAAACTTTCTTATGGCTGATGCTAAACTCAATATTAGGAAGTGGAAAGTCATTTTTCTATCATCAACGGTTACAAACATGATGCTCATGTCATCTACGGAGATACTGATTCGGTCATGATAAAATTTGGTGTGGATAACTTGACCGATGCCATGAAATTAGGTGAGTTTTTTTATATTTTTATCGATCCACGAATTTCTAATAAATCCAATTAATTATGCGGTAGGCCGGGAAGCGTCCAAGTACGTCACGGAAAAATTTATTGAACCAATAAAACTGGAATTCGAAAAGGTTTACTTCCCATACTTACTAATAAGTAAGAAACGTTATGCCGGTCTTTATTGGACCAATCCTAATAAATGGGACAAATTAGATACAAAAGGAATAGAAGTATATATTACAATATATTTATTTGCCTTTCGTGATTCTAATTCAGAATCAAATGGTAATCACATTCAACTATATCCATTAGACTGTTCGACGAGATAGCTGTCTTCTGGTGCAGAATGTAATAGAAACGTGTCTGCGAAAAATCTTAATTGATAGAGATGTAGTAGGGGCCGAAGAGTATGCAGGTTTCAATCTGAATTTTTTTGATATATTCAGTTTCATCTCATCTTTAATGTTTTCTTCTGTAGATACGCGAAGAAGACTATCTCCGACTTGCTTCAAAACAAGATTGACATGTCACAATTGGTCATAACCAAGGCTTTGAGTAAATCAGGTAGCTTTTACTTAAATGTGTATATATATATTAATTAGAGGCTCATTACTAGCGTACTCTTAATATATTTAGATTATGCCAGTAAACAGCCGCATTCTTGTTTGGCTGAACGTATGCGCAAACGTGATCCTGGTAATTTAAATTTGTTTATTGTAATTTACATTGATCGTTATTCTAACTTTATGTTCATTCTTAAGGTTCTGCACCTACACTTGGCGATCGTGTTGCATACGTTATTGTGAAGGCTACAAAAAGTATCTGAATAAAAATTTGACTTTATCGAATATTAGTCACAGCTGACATCTCTTCTTTTACTAGATGCACCTGCTTACGAAAAATCTGAAGAGCCAATATATGTACTCGAAAATAGTATCCCGATCGATACCAGCTATTACCTAGAAAATCAACTTTCTAAACCGTTAATGCGAATTTTTGAACCGATTTTGGGAGACAAAGCTAATTCTCTACGTGAGTGATAGTAACAAAACTTTCTAGTCAATGACTCGGTTAACAAGTTATTTTTTTATCTCTTTCTCAAGTTGCCGGAGAGCACACTCGTATCATTCAGAATACGACACCTACAATTGGTGGCTTGATGAAATTTGCAGTTAAGACACCTACTTGTCTGGGCTGTAAAACTCCATTATCGAAAAGTGGTAAGATTTTGAATTTCTCATGAATTTAATTAACTTTGATTAAATGAAAGTTTGATATAGATGCAGCCGTGTGCAAACATTGTAAACCAAAACTTGGTGAACTATTCCAGAAACAGGTGAGATTGTTGCTTGTTCAGGACATCTATCTATATGCTCAAACTTCAATGATGCTCACTCATTCAAAAACTTTTTAGTTGGATGTTGTAAATTCACTCGAAACTCATTTTGCACGACTTTGGACACAGTGCCAGAGATGTCAAGGAAGTTTACACCAAGATATTCTTTGCAGTTCTCGAGATTGTCCTATATGGTACGATGACATAAATATGACTGGAGTCCTTTAAATCAACAGTTTGATAATAAAATTCCCTCTATCAATACTTTAGGTACATGAGAAAGAAAGCTCAAAAGGATGTAGCAGACGCAACTAGCATATTGGAAAGATTTAACCGCGCATGGTGATTCGTGCACGCATACTTTTCCTTTTTTTTTTTTTTATAATTGTGCGTGTATTTTCATTGATAAGGATGCTACAACCTTCTTCTAAGAGGCAAGGTAATTAGTACTGAATTTTATTGACATGAAAGAAGTAAAACACGAATATAGGGAATGCTATGAAATGTATATTGTGTGAAAATAATCAAATATGTCAAATATTTGATAATATATAGCTTTGGGATATTAAAATATTAAAATAGTTGAATATACAACAAGAAAAGAAATATAAACAAAAAATACAAATTTGTAAGCAAAATAAATATTATCTCAATCGGCTACA